CACCTTCAAATCAACCCTAAATGCTTCATAAATTACATTTAGGTGCATTCGAGCACCTAGGTTCACGGGTAAACACATGTGGAGTAGAGATTTGAATTCAAATTTGAATTTGAATTCAAATCTAGGCGCTAAATGTGATGCTTAATCCTTGGCGCCATTTGCATTCAAACCGAGCCTATATAAGTCTTCCTCCTTCACTCGTGTATTTACTTTGAATCATTAATGAGAATTTCTGAAAATCATTCAGCCAAGTTCTCTCTCAAAGTTACCAAAATCCTAGGCCTTAGTATTAGGAAAATCACCTTCTCCTATAGCTTGTCCGTGAGCTTTCTTTTGTTTCTCTTGCTTGGATGCTTCCAATCCAAACTTAGAGAATTAGTCTCCTTTTGTTCTTCATTTCAAGGTTTCCATCCGAAGATCAGCTCAAGAAGAAGATCCGTGACTTTGGTGAAGATTCAAGAAGCAAGTTCATCCACTTCTTCATCATTTTTGGTATCATGAGCATGACTAACTTCTTTGAGGTTAAGTAACTCTTTTCACCGATTGAATTTTGTTCTAGTGTTCTAAAAATTGTCACATCTTGAGTTTCCTTGTGGATCTATAATTTTGAAATCAATTCCTTATAGATCCAGGTGTTGATTGCATTTTGTTTCAAATCCACAATCAATAATGTTCTAGGATTCAACTTGTGCCAATTTTCATTTGTTTTAGTCATTTTCATCTTGATTGTTTGAATCGGTCATTTTAATTCCTATGCATATGAGTCTTTTAAATTTTTGAATCTTAAGTTTTGTCTAAGTCATGTTTGAATTCCTTTAAATGTCATATACAATTCAAGATGTGCTTGTTAATCTAGTGCTGAAATTTTTTTAGTAATTTTGAGTTTGGCCAAGACTCACCTTTCACCATATGTGCTTTGCTTGTGTGCTTTTATCTTTGCATATTTGAGTTCATATTCATCATTAGATCCTTGATGAATTCCTAGAGTTAGGTTTCCATTGTGTTTGAAAAGTTTTCAAAATTCAAATTCCATCTCAAAAAATTTATTCATCAATTTTCTTGGATTATTAAGTGATATACCTAATTCTAGTGCATTGTTTGGTTTGGATTCAAGTTCTGGAAAATTTTCTTGCTGGAAAACAAAACAAATACAAAGAAAGTGAATCAAAAGCTTTAGAAAAAGAAGAAAAAAAGATACAAAAAGAATCCAAAACAAATTTCCAATTCTAGTGCACTAGAAATTAAGTTTTCACTTGAAATTGTTTCTTCTAGTAGATCTGGTTTTGTGAATCATTGCTATGTGATTTTCTTTGGTGTAAAAGGCAATTACCTTCTCTGGAATTGATTCTTAACATTAGAAAAGCAAAAGATTTAAAAAAAGAAAGAAGAAGAAATCAAAACAAAAAGAAAAAGCCGAGAAGGAGACAAAGGATAAAACCAAAGTTTCATTATGTGATGGATCTACTAATTTGACTCAAATCTTTTGGTGATCACTTCTAATTCTTTTTTTTTTTTGACTATCTTTGAGTCTTGTCAATATACACTTAATCCTTTATTTGGTATAAGCTTTGCTAATTGTGCTTTTTGTTTTTGTCAAGTTTTCTTTCAAAATTCCAATGCTGGAAGTGGCCTCAAATCTTTGCAAGAGAATCAAACATTGACTCAACAAGATTAGGAGAGGAGTATTGCTAGTTCTAAGACCTAAGGACTTAAAACATGACCAAATTTGGTGACCTAATCCTCTAAATTTCAATCGTAAGAGTGAACCTTCCAAATTATTGAGAGGAGCCATTGTTTTGTTGTGTTTTTGTTGTTCAAACTGTGCAGGTTAGAAGGAGGATCAAGGACTTCAAGATTAAGGATGGATTAGTGAAGGAAATTGGTGGTTGGAAAATCTGTCTCTAAATCCGTCACTAATTCCATTGCAAATCCATCACTAAATTCTGTTTTGCTTTATTTGTACTTTCTTGTTATTTTCTTTGATTCAATCAATTTGTAATAGCTTTGAGGGAGTATTAAGAAGCTAGTCAGGTATATCTATATTCCTATAGCTTGCTCACGTGCAGAACTAGTGGAAGTGGCTTGAAAATTTCATATGATTTCAAGCTTCCACTTAGGGAAAACTAACTAGCTTGTTATTATTTACTCCTTGTTCTTGTTTTAACTCCTTGCTTGCTTTAATTGTAACTTCGACTAGTTTGTGTAGAATTTTTTTTTTAATTGCTCACGTTTAGTTAGAAGTAAAAAAAAATTGAAAATCATAAAGCTTCAAAGATTTTGTGAAAAGTTTTGTGAAATTGATATTACCATAAAGGGGTTTAGTAATTTTCATTTTGGTTATTAAGTGGCTCTTAGTAGCTCACCTCCCTTGATAGTGCAATTTGTATACTTAGACCTCCAAGTGTTAGTCTTGTTCCTAGTAAATTCCAAAAACATTTTTTTTTTGCATTGCATACCAAAATCTTCTTGAAACTTAACCATGAGTAAATATTCTCAAAGTAGTAGTGATTTGGACTCTCCAAAAAGTTTTTCTCATCTTGTTAAAGAGTTAAAATCACTAAAACTTTAGAGAAAGCAAGAGGTACTTGCCAAGGAAAAAGAAAGAATTGAAAGAGAAATACAACTTGCATTGCTTGAAGAAGAAATACAAAAAGGTTAAGCAACAAGAAGCAAAATTTTATAAAAATTAAAACTAAAAAAGAAAAGTCATAAAAGTTCCCATAGCTCCACAAGCCAAGAGGAAGTAAGAAGTCTAAACCTAGATGAATATTATCAATCTACTTCTAAAAGAGTCATTAGAGAGCCAAAGGTTAGGGAATCACGAATTGATCTCCCTTCCTTCCATGGCAAAGAGGATGTGGATGCTTACTTGGATTGGGAAATGAAAGTGGAGCAAATCTTCACTTGTCACCAAGTAGGGGAATAAAGAATGGTTCCCTTAGCCACCTTAACTTTCAAAAAATAAAAGAAAATATTCACAAATAATAAAAACTAGTCTAGTAAAAGTAATTCAAAGCTAACATGAGCTTGGACATTCTTCCTTCAAACTTAATCCACTCCTCTTAATTCTTTTTGTGCTTTTCGAAGAAATCCTTGCACTAGTAGAAAGGTTGGAAGCAATTAGAACACTCTCGCCTTGTGAAGAACAAATAGACATCATCCTATAACTTGTGTTGTGGAAGTTTAGAGAGGCTTTGTGTGAAATAATACTTGAATTTTGCTTTGTTGAGCAAGAAATGACTTGAGAAAGAATATTTGTTGTAAACAAAGATAAAGCAGTAGAACTTAATCAATTGATCAAGAACTAGACGTAAATTCAATGGTGATGATGAATTAGTATAAAATCCTTGGTGTTGATTTTTCTCTTTTCCTAAACTCTTCAAGTTTTTATGTTGGCTTGGTATCATTTGTCACCTTTGTTTGCTAAGAAGCCTTAGTCTGGAGAAAAGGTTTGAGATACTATTCAATCCCTCTATAGTACGACCTTTTTTCCTACAATAACAGTTTGAGATACTATTCAATCCCTCTATAGTACGACCTTTTTTCCTACAATAACAGTGAGAAAGGTAAAAAATTTAAAAGGTTTGATTGGTTCTTTAATTATATATGTAACTAATAGTAAATACGAAATCTTATTTATTAAAGAAATGTATGCAAAGTTGAAATATTGCTCAAAAAGCAAGCTCATGATTTTGTAGCAACCATAACTTATTCAATTGAATCATTGATCATGACCTATGGTTTGAGAAAGAGT